GCATTAAGACCTGCAGTGTGAACGTAGCCTGAGATCAGTGTGTTTAAAGTTTGTTACTGCTTTGCCATGATTCTAACATCACTTCAACACTCTGAAACTGGACCTGTTCTGTCCTCCATTGCCTCAGAAACTCCGGTTTCATGCATTGCTGAGTCAGCAGCTTGATCTGATAAAATTCAGACCTGCTGGGCTCCACAGCCTCCCTCAACCTTCAGTGAGGAGGGAGGTGAAAAATCCTCCTCCACTGTGAAACCACCTGTCGCTGTGCTGTCTCTCTCAGGGTTCATGCAGGGTCTGATAAAGTCTAAAATTTAAAAATCTAAATGTTAGGCCTAAACAAAAGTCTTAAAAATGCCCAGATTTTCATCCAAGGTCTTAAATTTAATTTTGTCAGGTCTTAATTTTCTTTACTTTTGATCMTTCCTGAGAGGCGTTGGCTGTATAAATAAACAGAGTAAAGCACAGTAATCAGAGGTTCACACAATCTGTCTTCATGAAGGGCTRMGTTTGCTGCTGGTCTTTGTACGCRTTAAACTACAAGTCCTGTGATAACTGCTGGCAAAAAACAGCACAGTTTACTTCCATGTTTTCAACCTCTTTGCTGCTACMACCCTCCACATACAGCAGCTTGTTCACCTGCCCAAAAAACAAAGCAGTTCAGTCATGTCTGCTGCTTGTTGTTTAAACACAAAGTGTGTTTTCAGTGAGGCTTGGCTGATATCAGTGATTTTTGCACTCTGATGGAAGCGGCTCCCAGCAGTCGGTTAGGGTTAGGTCTTAGTGAAGGTCTCATAGATATGACCCAGGGCTCAAGAGTGCAACCAATTTGGTCGCAAATGCGACCTGATTTCCTAATAGGGCGACTAAAAAAAAGTCCGGTCACACTGGTGCGAACAGTCGTACGAGGCGGAGGGGGAGCGGTCGCCCACTGAAACAAAAAGTTTCCATGTTCCATAAAAAATGAATCCATCAGTATCAATGGCCGCCCGCCGACAGTCTCATCTCTCCTAGTAACACTTCGCTCTGCTCGCAGCTCCGCTCCACACCTCCTACACACACACTGTTGTTCTATCCTCATGAGGACTTTGCATTGACTTCCATTCATTTCCCTGTCAATTCTATAACCA